CCACATAAAATGTGACGTATATTCTAAAAAGGTGAGGAAAAATACATTTATAATAGGAAAAATTAGGAATCTATAGTTGCCTTCACATTTATATCCTTATGCTAGAGCCACGGTTTGCAGAGAAGTTGCAAAGGATCAAAAGGATGTCACTCTACAACGGTATCAGTCAGGAGAAGGGTACAAAAGAGAACTCCCTGGCAGGCCTTAGTAGGATTCCATATAACTAAACCGACTATGCCAAGTTTGCACCTGGTTTCAGTGACAGTTTGAGGCTACAGCAAACAGAGGGAGTCAAAGCTTAATGCATTCCATTCAATTTCAATTCAGTTTATTTATATAGCACCAATTCACAACACATATCATTTCAAGGCATTTTACAAAAAAAAAGGTCAGTTCAATCACATATATTCCAAAATGATCCTAGTTATCAAACAATCCAAGGAATTGAAATCTAAGGAAACCCAGCAGATTGCATCGAGTACGTGACTTGCTGCATTCACTCCTCCTGGACGAGCATGTAGAGACAGTGGAAAGGACAACTCCCCTTTAACAGGAAGAAACCTCCAGCAGAACCAGAACCAGGTTCAGTGTGAACAGCCATCTGCCACGACTAACAGTCACCGATTCAGTCACTTCTGTCTTTGCTCTGTGACAATCGCAAAAGAAGACAGACGAAATGACAGCAGAGATGTCTTTAAATTACTGGACTGTGAGCTGATGTGTTTAAACAGAATCCGATTTTTTTTAAAGAGGAACATTGAGCTTCCAAGTGTTTGAAGAGTGGCTGCAATCAAAATCTTAGTCTTAACAGGCAATTTTCCGATCCAGCTTTCACTCGTTTTGCTTTCCGACGATAACTGAAAAATATTCAAATGAGAGCTGCTTTAATAAAAGCAGTACAATATAAGAAACGTTTCATTACCATAATGCCAATAAAGGCCTGTCCATTTACTACTATTGTGTAGGGTGTGAATAAATATTTAAAATATTTAAAAATGGATAGAAATGGTGGAATCATGAGATAAAAATAGTCTTCTGATGCCAGAATGTTTATCACTGTTTTCATCTGGATCTATCTCGAAAATCTACAGTATAATAATGAAACATGTATTCTGGATATAGTAAAGGTGTTCCTTTGGTAGAAACCATGGACAGTTTTGTGTCATCTCCCAGGAAATATTACCTAAAATGCACAATGTAAGTAAGCATTTTTTTATAGTTAACTAAATATTCTTGCAGAACAGCGCTCAAGTATTTATATCATTATGTTCTCTTGTGTTTTCCTTAAATCCTACTGTTTTGTTTTGTCATTTCTGTCCCAAATGGAGTATTTGCAAGGATTACTCTGATTGGAAAAAAAAGACCTGTCTGTGATAGGCTGGTGGTGTGGTCCATTTACATACACTTTGTGAAGTTGCGAGCAAACAGACTGAGCCGAGCGCCATCGTAGGAGTGTGTGGTCACCTCTGTGCGCACACGTATCACGTGTGTCGGGGTGGAACTATCTGCGAGCGATACAGAGCATACAGAGACCAGAAAACTGTAGAGGCACGTCCATGTAGAGGCAGAAATGACATAATGTGGTGAAAATAACATAAATAAAAGATAATTTTCTTTGTTTCATAGAAGGACAGTGTATAGACCTGTTTTATATAAGGAAAGGCAACCTTAAATGCAGTGATCTACTTTAGTTAGAAAATCATTTTGATATAATTATTACCCTGACCATCTACGGAGGGCGGAGGGGGTCGTTGAAGAGGTGGGGCGCCTCTCCAAAATAGTCAGAGAAAACACAAAAATACTAGATGATGCCATAATCAATATGCTAAGTGATTCCTGAGATCATAGAGTATTAAAGACTTTAGTTTAGAAAAAGATTGATAAATGAACAATCAGTTCATATTGGTACTGTGAACCGACATGAATTAATTTAGTTTTAACTTTATTTTTTAAAAGGTACACATTTTAATGCTTTTTCTACATTTAATGTTAGCTATTTTATTAAAAGCTAAAAACGGAATACCATTTAATTTTCTATTCAGTTTGATCCCGCTGAAATGTATCTGAAGATCTGCTCTACATGAAGCATCTCTGCACACTTAAACGCTGCAATTACAGTTCTAGCCACTAGGAGGAGTATAAACGCTAGTCATGGTGCTACGCATGGTTTGTGTTCATTTCTCTTAAATTTATTGATATGGGAAATGAAATTCAGATTATCTTGGTACAAACCCGTTTTCTGATCTTCTGGGCATCATAACGGATTTGGGCAAACTCCCGCAGGCCAAAGGAGCCACCAACGACCAGCAACTGAAAACAAAACATAAACAAAAGAGAAGAGAAGAGGAAATCTGGGTTGTTTTAAACTGTAGAGAGGCATTTTGTGGGACTGTGTATAGAAACTCAGAACATTTTTGGAGGGAGCGGCGTATTGGAAAGACATATTAAAAGGCATTTACTTAATTCGTTACAGGTAAAAAATATGTAAATGATACTTCAGCAAAAACAACGAACGCTTACGTTGACAAGTATTGACCAGAACCGCCACCATGGATAATGGTTATACTAGTTTTTTTGAATGTTTTTAAAAAGGCATCAGTAGCTGACCATTTTTCAACAGACTGAATGTGTAATGATACAAAATGACCATACAGATTTACATGTTAGGTCATATTACAGTTGCTCAAGGATCAGAAACGGTATGCTTTCAAATATTTGCAACGTTACGATGTCAAAGCTGGAAAAATAACAGAGTTGCGACGTCTAGTAAACATCTGACAGTTATGTTACAACGAGTGAAATAACTTGTTTTAGACTAACTAGAGGTGATTTCAAGCATCCACTAGCTAGCTAACCAGCTAAAAACAGTTCATGTGCGTAAAAAGTCATGACGCAGAACATTCCTTACAAGCATAGGGACTCCATACTTGACTGTTTTGTTTCTCTGCAGTGTCTTTAAGTTGAACATGACTTCTGTTATCAGCTACATGTCCCTCAGTCGGTAACAGTAATCAGGTCACAGCGGCGGAAGCGTTTCCTTCCTGTGTCCGACATGCAAACTCTTCCGGGCCGAGACCGGTTTACGGTAAACAGTTCCTATGGTTGTCCTTTCGTGTTTTGTGGACCTTTTGGATAAGACTGATCCAAAGATGAGCTCTTTCTTATATTCTAATATTGTTATATGCATGACCAAATTACTTATTTAGCAGATTATTTTTTCCACACAAAAGTTTTATTTCAAGAATGGGGAAGTACAGATGTTGGTAAAAGTATTCACTCCCCTTAACCTTTTTCAGATTTATCCATGCTACAAATACAAACCTCAAAGTATTTTTAAGGGGTATTATATGGTACAACAGCACAGAGTAGTGCAGAATTGTTTTGTGGAAGAAAAGTGATACATGGCATTTTAAAATGTTTTTAAATCCATTTTTCACAGCAAGTGTGAGTCTTTTTTTGACATGTCTCCACCAGCTTTGCTAATATACAAACTGACATGTTTGCCCATTTTTCTTTGCAAAACAGCTCAAGCTCAGTCAGGTTGGATGGAGACTGTTAACACTGCTTTTCAACTATTGCCACAGATTATCAAATGCACTTGGATCTGGACTTTGATTTGACAAATCCCTTCTGGCACTTCGTATGGCGATTGCTATGTTGTTGGAAGGTAAACCTCTACCCCAGTCTCAAGTCTTTTTCAGCCTCTAAAGGAGTGTTGTAAAAAAGTATTGGCCCTGACAGATTTCTTCTGTTTTTGCTTTTTCAGGTCATCAAACAAATTTGAATTGCAGACAAATATAACCTGAGTCAACACAAAATGCAATTTTCAAATTATGATTTCATTTATTAGTGGGAGCTAATTGCCAATGAACCAATGTGAGGACAACTATCCACAACTGGAGAAAAGATGCAGTAGGGGTGAACCTTCCAAGAAGAGGCTGGTGAAACAAAATTACTCCGAGAGCGCATTGATGATTCAACCAAGTCACAAAGCAAACCAGAGTCAGAATCAGCTTTATTGCCAAGTTTGTACATACAAACAAGGAATTTGACTCGGGTACACTTTGCTCTTTGGTTTTTGTTTTTGCACTACAGAATATACATATTTACAATGTACAATATACACATAAATAAAAAGGTGCATTTGCAACATCTGTATGCTGTTTTTGGTATTCTATTAACTGTTCAACCGAGAAACAGCCTGGGGGAAGAAACTGTCTCTGTGGCGGGTAGTTTTTGTGAACAGTGCTCTGTAGCGGCGGCCTGAAGGTAAAACCCTGAACAGTTTATGTGCAGGGTGTGTGGGGTCTGCAGAGATTTTAGCAGCTCTTTTCCTGACCCTAGACCTGTATAAGTCCTGGATGGAGGGAAGGTCAGACCTGATTATTCTCTCTGCAGACCTGATTATTCGTTGCAGTCTGGACCTGTCCTGTTTTGTGGATGAACCAAACCACACTGAGATGGATGAAGACAGGACAGACTGTATGATGGCAGTGTAGAAGATGACCAGCAGCTCCTGTGGAAGTTGAACTTCTTGAGTTGCCTCAGGAAGTACAGTCTCTGCTGGGCCTTCTTTCGAACAGTGTCTATGTGTGAAGGCCATCTCAGGTCCTCAGAGATGGTGGTTCCTAGGAACCTGAAGTGGTCCACAGCCGATACAGTGTTGTTGAGGATGGTAAGGGGGGTGTATGGCGTTGGTGTTCTCCGAAAGTCCACCACTTAAGTGGAACAACATCTTAAGTTCTGCAGGCCTCAGTTAAGTTCAATGTGCAAGATTCAACAATAAGACAAAGACTGGGCAAAAATGGGCTCCATGGCAGAGTTCCAAGACCAGCACCTTAAGCTGACCTAAAAGAACATAAAGGCCCTTCTCACATTTGCCAAAAAAACATCTTGATGATCCAAAAGACCTTTGAGAAAACCTTTTTGGAAGGTGTGCCTCCCATTAAATCTGATGTAAACCTGACAATGCATTTCAGAAACACACCATCAGGACATGGTGCTGGTGGTGTAAGGGTTAAGCACGCAACCATGTGCAGAGGCTATAGTCCTCGATGTGGCTGTCCTGGGTTCGAGTCTCAGACCTGGCAACCTATACCAAATGTCTCCCACTCTCTTTGCACTGTTTCCTGTCTACCTAGATGTTGACTAGGTCTCTAGTGCCACAAAAAAATTATTTTAAAAAAATGAAACCGACCATCATCCTGACTGTCAAACATGGTGATGGTAGTATAATGCTCTGGGTTGATTTGCTTCCTCAAGACCTGGATGAAAGAATAATGGCCAGTTGTCACAAACTCTTGATGTCAGTTGTTGCTGCTAAGGCTCGCACAACTAGTTATTAGGTTTAGAGGGTATTTACTTTTTCACATAGGGCCAGGTTGGTTTGGAGTTAGCTTTTTTTCCCCAAATGAATGAAATCAGCATTTGAAAACTGCTTTGTGTTTACCAGGTTATCTTTATCCAACATCAAAATTGGTTTGATGGTCAGACAAATTTTACTTTGACAAAAAGCAAAAAAAAAAAAAAAAATCTAAGCGGACAAAATCTTTTCAATAGCAGTCTTCTATTTAGCTCCATCCATCCTCCCAACAACTCTGAACAGCTAAGGTTCCTGCTAAAGAAAAGCAACCCCACAGCAAAATGCTGTCACCACCATGTTTCTACTTGGAGAATGTGTTTAGGGTGATGCCTAAAGGGGACTAAATACAAATGCATGCCACAGTTTTCACATTTCTATTTGTAAAAAAGTAAAACATTATTTGTTCCAGCTCACAATCACACACTACTTTGTGTTGGGCTATCAAAAATTCTTATAACAAACATTCAAAGTTGTAACGTGACAAAATGTAAAACCTGTCGAGGGTTATGGAAGCTTTTGCAAAGGTCTAGATTTGCTTGTTAGATGTTAGAAATGTCCCAAAACACTGATAAGAGCTGAAACATTTATTGAACTGGTACGCCTGGTATTTTGTTTTCACACCTGTGCAGCCTTTTCTGTCCTTACCTGTGTTCCCTTTGAAAGCCCTCATATACTGTATCTGTTTAAATTATGTACAGGACCTTCCAAAAGTATTCGTTCCCCTTCGGGATTTTTATATTCAATGTATTTTATTGGGATTTTGTGTGACAGACAAAATGTCCGGCATAGTTGTAAAGTGGAAGGAAAATGCAAAAAATCTGAAAAGCGGGCTGTGCATTAACAATCTCCTTTACTCTGATGCTCTCTATGGAAGCTTGGAAAGATGATGTCTTATTTACAGTTTGCTACAAGCCATGTAGGGGACACAGCCAACATGTGGAAGGAGGTGCTCTGTCCAAATGAGACAAGTTTTCCAACTCGGCTCTGGTGGCTATCCTATGTGCAGTGGCTATAGTCCTCGGGGGTTGTCCTGGGTTTGATTATTGGTCTCAGACCATTTGCTGCATGTCTTTCCCTTCACTCTCAATCTTCTTTCCTGTCTGATTACTGTACAATAAGGGCCACAAGTGGAAAAAAAAAATATTTTCCCAACTAACACACTACATCTTGAACACAACATTCCCACCATGAAACATGGTAGTGGCAGCATCATGATCTGTGGAGGCTTTTCATCAGCAAGGAAGCTGGTCAGCGTTCAGGGGAAGTTGGAAGGAGCTAAATAAGAGACAATCCTGGATGCAAATCTGTTGCAAGCAGAAACTGACTTGGGACTGAAGTGGAAGTTCATCCTCCAGCAAGACAACAAAAAATAAATATGTTACATCAAAACATTTTCATGTGTTATTGTGGCTCATTTAATGTCGAGAACCAAATTCAACTGAAAATCTGTGAAATTTGAAAATAGCTCTGACTGAGCCCAAGCTATTTTACGAGAAAAGGAAGGGCAAGAGACATACCTAAAGAAAAAGACTTTTAGCTGAGGATAATTCCACAAAGTACTGAATACAAATGGACGCCATTGCAGATTTGTTAAAATGTTTGAAAATCCTACATCTTTTATGAGAGTTTATGTGTTGGTCTACGACACCAATAACATACACTGAAGGCCTTGGTTGTAATGCATCAAATGAGTGCAAAACTGTATGAATACTTTTACAGAGTGTTGCATGCATTCATACTTTGGTCTCACTGAAGTACCTTCAACCAAATGATCAGAAAGTGAAAGTGTAAAACTATTACCCTCCCCCACCACAAACACACACAATGGTGATCCTGTATCAAAAATTGACAAAGTATAGACTTTATATTTCTTTATTACAATTTTTTGTCTCTTATTTCAACCAGGTGAAGAAAAATACCTTTTTTTGTTCAGTATAATAAAATATGTTAACTTTATTAATTTTTCTGAAGAAAATCAATAACAAGAAAAACAAAACATTTTTTTCTCTCCCTCTTTGTAAACCTGGAGAATCGCTGCATCGCATGGAAAAGCAAACAACAGAGACAGAGCGGTGAAAAAGCTGGACAGGTAGGAGAAGTGTGAGGACACAGAAGATACTGACAAAAAGATAAGGCCTGAAACATACAAAAAAAAAAATGAGCGCAGCTGGACAGTAAAGTGGTTATGGTCGGAGCACGTGGGGGTGAGCAGAGCGCGGTAAGGATGGTCCCGAGTCAGGACAACTGACAGAGTGTTCAGAGGTCGCTCTCTCCATAAAGAGCCGTGGAGAAGGACATGTAGTCGAGGGCTCCAGGGACACCGTCGGGGCCGGTGTAAGGGGCCATGCGCGCGATGCAGTAATCAGCTTGGTCTGGGGGCAGCTCTCGGCGCAGCTCGTCAGCTAAGATGTAGTTCTGCAGAAAGTCAGAAAAACTGAGTTTCAGTTTTCTTCTGTGAGAATAACTGCAGTGATACAGCAACACAGATCAGATCCAGAAATAAAACTGTTTTATTTTCATTATTTGATTTATATAAATAACATCCATTTCAATATACTGTATACAATGCATCATTTATTTAAAATCTATAATAATAAATATAATAAAATCAATCAATAAATACAGTGAGGAAAATAAGTATTTGAACAAAAATTTTAACACCCTGCGACTTTTCAAGTTCTCCCACTTAGAAATAATGGAGGGGTCTGAAATTTTCATCTTAGGTGCATGTTCACCGTGAGAGACATAATCTAAAAAAACAAATCCAGAAATCCCAATGTATGATTTTTTTAATAATTTATTTGTGTGCTACTGCTGCAAAGAAGTATTTGAACACCTGCCAATCAGCAAAAATTCTAGCCCTCAAAGCCCGTTAGTCCACCTCTAAAAAGTCCACCTCCACTCCACTTATTATTCTAAATTAGAAGCACCTGTTTCAGGTCGTTAGCTGCATAAAGACACGAGGATGAGCGGGGCCATGTATTGCGAGATTTTGGGGAACAACCTCCTTCCCTCAGTTAGAGCATTGAAGATGGGTCATGGCTGGGTCTTCCAACATGACAATGACCCGAAGCACACAGCCAGGATAACCAAGGAGTGAAAAACTACAGGAAACGTTTGACCTCTGTAATTGCAAACAAAGGCTACTGTACCAAATATTAACATTGATTTTCACAGGTGTTCAAATACTTATTTGCAGCAGTAACACACAAATAAATTATAAAAAAAATCATACATTGTGATTTCCAGATTTTTTTTTTAGATTATGTCTCTCACAATGGACCTAAGATGAAAATTTCAGACCCCTCCATGATTTCTAAGTCGGAGAACTTGCAAAGTCGCAGGGTGTTCAAATACTTATTTTTTCTCACTGTACAAGCAAAATTTAATATCATTAAATGAATTATTATTATGTAATGTAATTCTGTATTGCTAAATCTTTAAATAAACATTTCTAAAAATACCTACAAACCTACCTTTTTTTCTTTTAGCATGTTAATTTGTACATTTATTTTGGGGGGATTAATCACATGAAATGAATTCCAATAAATGCAGTGGCTTGCACAGATATATACATAAACCAACACAAGGTGGCGCATAGTTGTGAAATGGAAGGAAAATTATACATTTTCACACTTGTTTTTTACCAATAAAAATCTAGAAAGTACAACATGCATTTGGAAGTCTTCAGAAGACATCTAAATTAACAAACAAGATCCTCCTGTATGCAGTTTGATCTCAGTATAAATGCAGCTGTTCTATGAAGGCCTCAGGGGTTTGTTAGAAGACATTAATGAACAAACAATATCATAAAGGCCAATGAACACAGCAGACAGGTCAGGGATAAAGAAAAGGACATCATCTGCAGATAGAGCATGACACAACTGCAAACCCTCCATGACATGGCGGTCCACCTAGAAAGAGTAAAGATGAATGTTCTCCAGGCATTAACATAAACACATAATCCCCGACAAGAAAAATGGTGTGGGCAGCATCATGCTGCGGGGAGGTTTTTCAGCAGAGAGGTAAGCTTTTCAGAGTCTATGGGAATATGGATGCCGCTAAATACAAGACAATCCTGGTTAGAGGCTACAAATATATAGAGGCAGGGGTGGAGATTCACCTTCCAGCAGGATAACGACGACAAACATACAATCATATCAACAATGGAAGTCTAGTCCTTCTGTGACCGACAGATGTTCACAGACAATCACCATTTAATCTGAGTTTCAGCTATTTTGCAGAAGACGACTGGGCAAAATTAGCGTATCTAAAAGTGGCAAAAGCCTTGCAGCTTTAACTGCAGGTTTAGGTGGTTCTGAAAAATATATATTTACAAATATTACATCCAATATTTTTCAGATATTTCAGACAGATTAGGAAAAAAAACATATGAAAACCACTTATTTTCTTTCCACTTCACACTTCGAGCTGATCTGTCACATAACATTACTTTCCACAGCACTGTATGTCCCCGAGTATTTTTCTCTCTATCTATATCCACTTGTGCTGCGGGGGTTGTTAGGTTTTTAATTTTAGTAGCATGAGGCGTTTTCCTGAAGTGCTCTGCAGTACTGTACCTTGTCCCCTGCGAGAACCTTGAAGGACGCCAAGACCTGGTCAGCTGTGTCTGTGTCAGCCGTCTCACGGGACATGAAGTCTATAAAGGCCTGGAAGGTGACAATGCCCATTCTGTTGGGATCCACTATGCTCATAATGCGGGAGAACT